ACAATTGGTGGGTTATAAATTTCAATGATTTTGTTGCAATAAATCTTTGTATATGGTACATGCTATCAAATAGTTGTAGAATGAATCATCAAAGTTTGTACAATTATCTATGATGTAAAATACGAAGTACATGTATACAGATACACATGTACATGTACATGTGCAGTAGGTACAGTGAAGTCAGTGCATGCAAACACAACTTTATAACAACAAACAACATCAAAAATAATCATACCTGAGCTTCTTTGACTTGCCATTTCTCAACTAGTTGATGTATCATCTCTTGCTTAGCTTCTAATTGAGCTTTAGCTTCTTTTATCTGTTGCTCAAGTGCTTTTTGTGACTGAGACACAACTTGGCTTTTATCGTCAATAGCTTGTTGTAGAGCATGCAGCTATTGCCTCATCTTTTTCTACTAAATTTTTTGTAAACGTGTCCTTCAATTTTTGTAAATCTTCAGTGAGCTTTCTATTTATTACTTGCAAAGCCTCAATTGTCTTAAAATTAAAATAATAATATTTATTATTAAAACATTATTACCATATAGTGCTTTATTTTCAAAGAACAAAACTTTCGCTGTTTTTGTGGGTTAGCATGCAACTGCCAAATTAAAGATCTGCTGAATATTCAATTGTCATTAAAGGCATGGCATTAACATTGCATATTAATTAGTGAAATTTTAGCTCCGCAAAATTAAAGCACTATACGGTATTTTATTACTGTGTAGTCTCTCTTTCTCTCATAAAAATAATTAATTATAAGAATTAATAATTTACTTCTTTTTGTTTAGTGATAAATTCCATTTGTTCATAAAGCTCCTGTCTAATTTCATCATTCTCACCCTATTAAAAGAATGATTGCAATTAAGTAAACCATTAAGAAATTAATTACTTCTAATTTGGTATTCATTTGTAAATTATTAGTTTATAGATTTATATACATAGATCTGCTAAGATTGGTCAACACAGAAAGTTTTACCATTTTTCAGTAGCTTCAATTTTTTCAGCATTGTCTTGCAGCTCCTCTTCTCAGTCTCTTTTGTGAATGAGATGCTTCTTGAAGCACATGATCTGCCATCCTAAAAATTGATAGATCTAATAGTCCAGTTATAAGAGAGTACACTTTGATGAACAAAAGATTAGTAAGGCATGCATTATTAAATATTTTAGAATCTTTCCTTACCTGCATGTTTGTTAAAAGCAAGATCTGACCTATCCCATAGGTGTGGCCTGGCAAGGAATCACCTGAGCTGAGCCAACCAAACTTTACATTACATTAAAAATTATTCAAAATTTTGTAATCACAGCATAAATAACTTGGATAATGGTGCTTGTGGACTCATACTGCACATATATATGGCTTAAGAACTATATAATCTTAAAAATATAATAAAAAACTATACCAGATATAATATAACTATGATAAGCTAGCAACTCATTCCAATGCAGAACGTTTTCTCTTGGTTTTTGTGATTTTCCAACTAGACACTTTTTACCACATTAAGGACAGACCATAGAGTCTAAAGGTGTGATGAATCCTGCCGGACTGCCTCAGGTTTGAAGAGTGCTGCCATTTGTTCTCTTGTCAGTTGTGGTTCCACATTTTTCATTGAATCATAAGTTTCGTCATCTACTCGAGTACTTGCTTGAGAATTGTCACTGGGTTTGTATGTAGCGTGAATATGTGGTGTGTTCTGATCATGATTAGCAGC